TGAGTGACAGCCCCCTTCAGCAAGAGAGAGAGACAAGTGCCCAATCCTTGGCCAGCTTCCTAATTCTGCCTCCCTTTTGGGGGTGACTGTGAGCATTCAGTGAGATGGAGAATGTGACTATTATTATTAAACTAGAGACTCAGTGCACAAATTTGTGCACATTGAAAGGAAATTCATTAGAAGGTGGCTGGTGGGGTGGGACTGGGTGAGATGGGCCGGACACACTCTGGAGCCAACTTTTCTTGGTCCCTTCCCGGTGTTTGCCGAGTGAGTGGTGTCCCTCCAGCAGGTGTGGTCCCTTGGTTGGCCAAAACTGGCTCTCCAACATCCCCCGAGGGGTGGCGGCGTAGGATAGGGCACTCTGCAGAGTTGCTGTCGTACAGGGTGTGGAACACAAACGCAAATGTGCAGTAAACCAGAGTTAGGGCTGACAGTACCCCAGCAACAACATAACCCACGGCCAAAGGTGGAATCATGCGGCCTCACAGGAATTGGGCTCCCTCCTCTCTAGTTTCAGGTACATCACCTGAGAACCGCCATTGCCAAGTCACTGCAGCTCTGCAGCTCCCGTGTTGATCTGTGGTCAGTGCATGTCATAGCGACCGGTCGGATGGTTGGACACTTAGCATATTAATTTTTTATATAGAGAGATTATTTATAGGTTTAGAGCCCCTCCCCCCAAATTTGGTTTGGGAAAGGGACAGAGCGAGGAGGAAGGGTGTAGTAATGTTAAAAACATGGCTGTAAGGCATAAAATTGTCTCAAATTCGCAAGTCTGGGTACAGAGGAGAGGCGATTCCTAAGAGGCTGTGTGACTGGTGAGCCTGCTGTGATTGCAGATTGCTGGTTGTCGTCCAAAGAGCTGGAATCCCTCTGGGAAATGACAAGCTGATATGAAGAAATAAATACATAACATGCATAAGCTACAGAATTTTCATATTCATTAGCCTAGTACCTCTGACTCTGGATATGTATTGTAAGAAAATAATCCCATAGAAGTAAAAGGATTTCTGTACATGAACGTGTACGTTTTAGAGCTAGTTATAGAATAGTAAAACTGGAAGCAACTTACATTGTTAATAATAGGGCAATGGTTGGTTAAACTCAGACACATTCCTTCAACAAGTTATTATTACACAACCATTGAAAACTAGAAATGTGTAAAGTCGGCCATAACCGAAAGAAAGGATGTTGATATGATATAAAGTGATCAAAAAGCGGATGCAAAATTCTTCACATGTTATGGTTACAATTATGTAAGAATAATTATGCTTAAAATCAAGAATAGCCTTTCTGGTGTGGCTCAGTAGTTGGTTGAGCCCTCGACCTTTGAGTCAGGAGGTCACTGGTTCGATTCCCAGTCAGGGCACATGCCTGGGTTGTGGGCTCCATTCCCTGGAGGCATGCAGGAGGCAGCCCATCAGTGATTCTCATCATTGATGTTTCTATCTCTCTCTCTCCATCCCTTCTCTATATGAAATCAATAAAAAAAAATTTTTTTAAATTAAGAATAAAAAAGAATATACAAAAGGACCACTGTTGCCATGTTAGGGTAGAAGAGCTAACGATGATTTCTCACCTTACCCTCTCCTAAACTTTCTTCAATGTTATAGTATTTCAAGAATAGTAATAGTAAATTAGAATGAAGATATTATTGCTATCTTTACAAGAAGTCAGAGAGTATGCGAGGGAAGAACAGGTAGCAGCAGGCATTAAAGGAGAGCACTGGGTGGTGGGAGGGTGGCCAGGGTTTGGAGGTGAGGAGAGGCAGGAGAACACGAGAAATAGGCGTGATGGTCATAGAAGTCTTAGATGTGAACAGGATATAAATCAGTTAGTTAGGCCTGGGCAGTTCTGGGGTACCCAGAGGCAAACTAAGCACCTTCTTAAGGATTCATGAAGCAGGGGTATTAAAGATCATTAAAAAAAGAAAAAAGACTTGATATTTGAAATTCAAGCAAGCATCCAAGAAGCCATCATGGGGGTGGAGGGAAGACAATATGCTGGACTTCCACAGGAGTATTTTGTGATCGGTCTTGTTTTCACTTGGAATGGGGTGGTGGGGAGACACGACAGCCTCTTCTGGGGTCTCGGAAGCTCTGCCTTGGGCCCTGGGCTTGAATCCTGTCCAATCAGCTGCAAGCCGGTCGTGCGCTCCATGAGCTCCGGTTGCTTTCGCTCAGGCCAGCAGGTTACCTGCAAGGGGTTCCCATCCGGGCCCAAACGTGCATAGGTCTCCGCAGAGCGCCTCCTCTGCCCCCGCTGGGACGGCTCCCTCCACTAGGAAGGTCTAGGGCTTGGTTCTGAGGCTGTCTCCAGGCACTCGCTCACTTTAATAACAAGATTGTTTACCAGGTGGTGCCACGCATAGCATCTCAGCCTGCTCCTGAGCGTCCCAGGAGGGAGAAACCAAAGCCACGGTTGGCTGAGTGAGTCCCTCGGGTCCTAGTCAAGGGGCAGAAGATGGAGTCAGCTCCCTCCTGGAGCCTGGCACCAGCGGTGGGGGGGGGGGGGGGGGGAGGGGAGGGCGGCGGCCTTTTATAAACTGCAGCCTGTTGCTTGGTCCCAGAGCACTGGAGGACCACCCCCATGAGGAAGAGAGGGGGTGGTCCCCCTGCAGGTGGACCTAAGTAATTGCCTCTTTCTCTGCCTTCTTTCCAGGGGGGGAGGCCTGTATTTCTCCAGAGTCTCCTCCCACCTAGTCCAGGGAGATGCTCCAGCGGCAGCCTTTGGAAGGCAAGAAAGGGACCGAATCAGAAGAGAGGGGAGAGAGCTCCATGGCAGATCTGAAAGAAATCGTCACCCTGGCCTTGGTGGGAGAGAACATTGGGACACAAAAGGGGCTTCAGAATGGCCAGCAGCAAGGCAAGAAGAAGAAGAAGAAAAAGAGGTTAGGATTGAAAGATGGGAAATGGGGATCCACGGTGGTACGAGCAGGGGGTGGGGGGGAAAAGGCTGGGAGGAAGGGGGTTCTGGCTGCTAATGCATGGGGAAAGGAGAAACTGATGAGACTGCTAAAATTACACCACTTCCGGTTCCTATAAAAAGAAGCCACTTTAAAAAAATATATATATATATATATATATATATATATATATATATATATTTTATTGATTTTAGAGAGGGATAGAGAGTTAGAAACATCGATGAGAGAGAATCACGGATCAGCTGCCTCTTGCACACCCCCTACTGGGGATGTGCCCGCAACCAAGGTACATGCCCTTGACTGGAATCGAACCTGGGACCTTTCAGTCCACAGGCCGACGCTCTATCCACTGAGCCAAACCGGTTTCGGCAAAAGAAGCCACTTTTGATGATGTTTGCTAGAACGAGACAATGGTGCATGTAATCGAAAGCCACACCTCGCCCTAATCCTTGTGTCTGTGTTCCGGCTGCCTTTTATTTTGTTTTTTTAAAATGGCGTGTGGTGGGCTTGTTTTCCCGCAGCCCCACCCGGGACGGGTGGCAGGAGGGGTGTTCCTGTGTCCGGTCTCTTGTTCCGGCAAGTGTGTCTGTCTCTGTCTTGCTGCTCTTCTTTTTCTCTTTTCCAGATGATTGGTGATCAATCTATCCAGCTGCCGATATGAGAGTGGTGAGCATCTGCATCAAGGAATCCGAGATGGGGACCCACTGGCTTCCCCCACAGGGCTGGGGAGGGTCACTCTTGCATATTTTTGAGGAAGAAAAGGGGTGTCTCCCGATCCTGTCCTTGGCTTCTCTCGGCTCATTGAACTGTTTGAGGAAGTTGGGGAGCTCATTCCAAGAAAATATGGGTTTGACCTCAGTGCTGTGTTATGAGGGGATCTGATTGTAGGGAAGGCAGCTGTTACTACAGTCCAGTGGCTCTTTTTTAGAGCATAACTTCCAAACTGGCAGTCCCTGAGCTGGAGGTGACTTGTAGACCTACTATGTTCTACAGAGCAGAGTGTTATTGTTATTTTAATTTCAAATTTGGATGCGTTGAGCCGGGTCACTGCAGGCACTTCTTCCTTTCCAGGCCCTTGTGAGATGACCAGACGTCCCGCTTTTGGCGGGACCGTCCCGATTTTTATCAATTTGTCCCGTGTCCCACGGTTAAAAATCGGGACGGACCCGCCAAAAGCGGGACGTCTGGTCACCTTACCTTAAAGGCATTTGTGTTGGGGTTGGAATCAGCTCCCAGTTATCAATACTAACAGGGACAGGGGGAGAAGGATGTGAGAGCATGTGTGTGGATTTGAAATATATTGTGTAATTTTTTTGTTAACTGACTTTGATAATTAAGCTTGGCTCTGGCTGATGTTAAGGATTTGGGTTTGTATTCCCTGAACATTCAGTGCTTTGTGTTTAGGGGAAAGCCAGACACCCACTTCCTGGTCAGGGGAAGCCAGGGTGGTTAAAACATTCATCCCAGATAACCTTCTGTGGGCATGATGGGGCATAGGCTGTATTTTTATATTTATTTATTTTATATTTACTTTTATTTTTATTATTATTTTTTAATATATTTTATTGATTTTGTACAGAGAGGAAGGGAGAGAGATACAGAGTTAGAAACATCGATGAGAGAGAGTCATCGATCAGCTGCCTCTTGCACACCCCCTATTGGGGATATGCCCGCAACCAAGGTAGATGCCCTTGACCGGAATCGAACCTGGGACCCTTCAGTCCCCAAGCCGACACTCTATCCATTGAGCCAAACCAGTCCCGGCATAGGCTGTATTTTTAAAATAGTTTTCAAGTCTTTGTGTTCCTTTCTTGGCGATGATGTCTCTAGGCAGGGCAAGATGGCTTCAGCCCCAGGGAGCCGAGGTCTCTCACTTTGGTGCTTAGTCTGGGAGCAGCTGGGAATGTAACTTCCCACTTTATGCTCCTCCCTCACCTCCCGGGCTAACAGGCCTTTCTTTCTCCCACCCCACGCAGTGCGCAGGGCCGCCCAACAGTATGGCCTCCGAGAGGGAGGGGAAAACGATGACTGGACTCTCTACTGGACAGACTACTCAGTGTCGCTGGAGCGGGTGATGGAGATGAAAAGTTACCAGGTATCTGGACCAGAGCTGGTCCTCAGCATCAGTAGGGTCCTCACTGTCCCCCAAGGATATCCCACGGGTACTCCCGTGTCCCCCATTGCTCATGAATTCCGGCTTTCCTTTGCAGAAAATCAATCACTTCCCAGGGATGAGTGAAATCTGCCGCAAGGACTTGCTGGCCAGGAATATGAGTCGCATGTTAAAGTTGTTCCCTAAGGATTTCCACTTTTTCCCTCGGACCTGGTGTCTTCCTGCTGAGTGAGTGCCTACCTGAGCTCCCTTCTCCACCCCCCACCCCGATTCCATTTCCCACAGCTTTCTCTCCGGTTCAGGAGGAGAAGGGATATATGGTGTGGCCAGGGTTCCCAGACTTTCTCACTTTTCTGGAATGACTTTCAGGGCTTAGTAGCAACTTAGAAGGAAATGCGTTTGCCATGAGGTCAACAGGCACCTCCGGATTTCAGAGCCGCTGAGGACCATTGAGTTGAGTGACTTCTCCACTGGTCACAAGGCTCCTTTGACTTAAAGTGCAAAACAAGAAATATAGGAAGACTGAGATTTATAGACCATTAAGTTTCTTTCTCTCTTTAAAAAAAAATTATTGATATTTTACAGAGAGGAAGGGAGAGGAATAGTTAGAAACATTGATGAGAGAGAAACATCAATCAGCTGCCTCCTGCACACCCCCTACTGAGGATATGCCCGCAACCAAGGTACATGCCCTTGACCGGAATCGAACCTGGACCTTTAGTCGGCTGACACTCTACCCACTGAGTCAGGGCTTTACTGACTCTTCTATTACCAGGCCTTGGGCATCTGTCTGTCAGCACCAAGGTGTTTGTCACATTAGATTGTTTTGTTTGTTTTTTTAAATAAAGAGTTAGCCTTCCTTTTTACTGCTCCCAACTGAAAGCGTACCTCACCCCCTCCCTGTCTGGCAGCTGGGGAGACTTGCAGAACTACAGCAGGTCAAGAAAAAATAAGACATACATTTGTAAGCCGGATTCGGGCTGCCAAGGGAGAGGTATATACATCACCCGGACGGTGAAAGAAATCAAACCCGGGGAGGATATGATCTGTCAGCTCTATATTTCAAAGGTACTTCTTCACTGTGATTGTTTATTTGTCTCCACGGCAACCTCGGGCTGTAGCTCCGCTGGACCGAATGAGGAACGAGGGAATGGAGGGCAGGGGTGAGGGTGCAGCTGAACCCTGCCTTCTGCCTTGGACTTTGTCAGCCCAAGCCTTCTGACCGGGGGTGTGACATGTGCCCGGGCCAGAGTGTCCCTCACCCTTGTACCCTGGCCGTTGGTCTGGCTCTGCCAGGCTGGGAGAGCACCTTTGGTCTGTGGAGGCCCCAGCTCACTGAGGAGAGGAGAGGAGTCCTGGATAGATAGTGGTAACCAGCTTTACTCCATGACTGGAGGTCAGAGGTCACAGCCTGCTGCAGGAAGGGAGCCCTGCCCAAGTGTGCATGGAGGGGGAGGCCCCGGCCAGCAATGCAGGGCAGTGCTACAGGGAGAATGCTTACAGAACTGCAGCAATAACGGAGCACTGGATAGTGACAGCATGTTCTTCATCTCAGGATGTTTTAATTTTTATTTTATTATTATTATTATTATTTTTAAATATATTTTATTGATTTTTTTTTTACAGAGAAGGATAGACAGAGAGTTAGAAATGTCGAGCAGCTGCCTCCTGCACACTCCCCACTGGGGATGTGCCTGAAACCAAGGTGCATGCCCTTGACTGGAATCGAACCTGGGACCCTTCAGTCCTCCAGCTGACTATCTACTGAGCCAAACTGGTTTCAATTGTTTTTATTTTTTTTAATCCTCACCCAAGGATATGTTTCTATTGATTTTTATTTTTTTTAATTTTTTTATTTTAATTTTAATTTATTTATTTTCTATTGATTTTTAGAGAGAGAGGAAGAGACACTGAGAGAGAGAGAAAAAGAGAGAGAGAGAGAGAGAGAGAGAGAGAGAGAGAGAGAGAGAGAGATGAGAAAGAGCAATCAGTTGCCTCCCACACATGCCCTGACTGGGGATTGAACTCACAACCTAGGTATGTGTCCTAACCGGGGATCGAACTGCAGCCTTTTGGTGTATGGGATGATGTTCAACCAACTGAGCCACCTGGCCAGGGCATCACAGGACTTTTGAATGCTATTATATTTTGTTTAGTTGACGAGAGTTCCCTTGGAGGTGGTTACTCATGACATTTGATGGAATAAGAGACAGGCACCGTGTGGTTCAGTGACTGTACAAGATCATGTGGCTAGTCACTGAGCCCCAACCCCCTTTCCCTGTCCCCAGCCCTGGCCAAGCCTGCACTCTGTAGCCAGAGGCAAGGTTGGAGCTGCCAAGAACACTAGCCGGGGTGCTAATGACTTTCAAGTCGGAATGGATCTCTCCGATGCTGGTGTGACTTCTGTTCTCTCCTCCAGCCCTTTATCATTGACGGGTTCAAGTTTGACCTACGGATTTATGTGCTGATTACGTCCTGTGACCCTCTCAGGATTTTCACGTATAAGGAAGGCCTGGCCCGCTTCGCCACGACCTCTTACTCCCACCCTTGCCCAGACAACCTGGTGAGCGCAGGGGACACGCTGCCTTACCTCCCTCCCTTAGTGTGATAAAAACAAAAAAAAATCCTAGTCAAATCCGCTAACACGTTCACTAATGTTGTGGATTTGGCTGCCTTGGCTGAGCACTTACCACTTGCTGGGTTGCCTGTATTCTTTCCTTGAGCCCTCCCAGGAGCCCTCAGAAACAGGGCTTATCGCCTCCCTTTCACAGAGAGGAAATGAAAAGGGAGAGTGAGGCCTTGTCCAAGGTCACAGAACCAGGAAGAGATCAGACTGGGGCTCACGGCCAGTTCTGCTGGACTGCAAAGCCGGTGCCACAGTCCCACACCCCGGAGTGTCCCTCAGGCAGGGCACCGCCCCGGCTCAGAGGATCTGGAGTTTCTCATACTCCCTTTTTCTTCCTCTGTGCCGCCAGTTTAAGTAAGCCCTAAGACCCTCCCTTTAAAAAAAATATTTTTATTGGTTCCAGAGAGGGAGAGATAGAAGCATCAATCATGAGAGAGAATCATTGATTGGCTGCCTCCTACACGCCCCCCTCTGGGGATTAAGCCTGCAACCCGGGCATGTCCCCGGACCCAGAATCGAACCCGTGACCTCTTGGTTCCTGGGTCGACGCTCATTGGGTCGGCCCCATTTCTTTTTTAAGCCCCAGGGGCCTTAGGAGGAAGCGGGAGGCCTGCCCTTCCTCTGACTCCATAGACTTGCATCTCTTCCCCCAGGATGATATCTGCATGCACCTGACTAATTACTCCATCAATAAGCACAGTTCCAATTTCATTCAAGACTCACACTCTGGCAGCAAGAGGTAAGCGAGCGGCCTCGCGTCTCTTTTCCTTCCCTGCCATTCTCAGAGGGGCTCTCTGGGGTTCGACCCAAACCCTGTCAGTCCGGGTCAGTGTTTCCATCTTGGGTCACATGTTCTCAGAAAACATTTCCTGGCCCCTAAACCCAGAACAGACTCCTTAGTCTCTGCCCTCTGGCTGTTAATCATTAAAGGGAGGCCACGTCGTAAACCTCAGGAGGGTGGGAGGAGGAGAGATAAACATGAACTGTTTGTCCAGCAGGGTACACACACACACACACACACACACACACACACCCAAACATACTCTTGTTACAGTTGGCCTTGCTGACATTTCCAAGCCAACAGATATTTATTGATTCTGGGCTGCCACGGGAAAGGCCGTGCGGGGCAGTGGTTGCTGAGCTGTGGTTCCCTGGTGTGTTGCTCCAACTGAGATTCTCAAATGGTGTGTTGCGAAGCCTGGTGGGGCCTGACCTGTGGCTTTAAGATTCCCCAGAAGAAGGGGAAACGTGAGAGGGAGGCCTGAGTATCTTCCCGGGCCGCTTTTATATGCCTGCTATCGTTGAATCCTGTCTCATTTGAGTTTTAAGAAAAAGAGGGACTGGCCGAAACTGGTTTGGCTCAGTGGTAGAGTGTCGGTCTGCGGACTGAAAGATCCCGGGTTTGATTCTGGTCAAGGGCATGTACCTTGGTTGCGGGCACATCCCCAGTAGGGGGTGTGCAAGAGGCAGCTGGTCGATGTTTCTCTCTCATCGACGTTTCTAGCTCTCTATCTCTCTCCCTTCCTCTCTGTAAAAAATCAATAAAATATATTTTTTTTTAAAAAGAAAAAAAAAAAGGGGGTGGGGACTGAAGAATGTGAGCATGACCGGACAGAGGAGAAAGAAAAGGAAGTGTTTATGGAGGTCTCCCGTGTGTTTGGACCTGAGCTGGGTGCTATGGGTGCATTTATTTTAAAATATATTTTATTGATTTTCCACAGAGACGAAGGAAGAGGGTTAGCAACATCCATGAGAGAGAAACATTGATTAGCTGCCTCCTGCACCACCCCCCCCCCCCACTGGGAATGTGCCCGCAACCAAGGTACACGCCCTTGACCAGAATCAAACCCGGGACCCTTCAGTCTGCAGGCCGACACTCTATCCACTGAGCCAAACCGGCCATAGCCTTTGGGTGTATTTAAAAAATATATTTTTGTTGATTTCAGAGAGGAAGGGAGAGAGCAAGAGAGATAGAAACATCAGTGATGAGAAAGAATCATTGATCGGCTGCCTCCTGCAGGCTCCATCCTGGGGGATCGAGCCCACAACCTAGGCATGTGCCCTGACCTAGAATCGAACTAGGACCTGGTTCATAGGTTGGCACTTAACTACTGAGCCACACCGTCCAGGCTGCATCCTCCCTCCACCCCGCCCCCCGCCCTGCCCCCCATTACATTTTTACAACGCCATGGCAGAGGCGTTATAAACTACCCTTTGTAGATGGGGAACTGTGGTTAGGTGCCGCCTCATTTTACAGATGAGGAAACCAAGTCTATGAGAGGCTCGGTTGCCTACGGCCACAGTTTTGAATGCCACAGCCGGACAAGGTCGGTCTGCAGACTCAGAAACACATGCTCCTTCTCCTGCACCAGGTCCACAGGACGGATAAACAGGCGACCTGTTTGGCTTCAGAGCATCAGAGGCTCGGGGCAGGAAAACCGCGGTGTCCTCCGTGCAGAGTTCCAAAGAGCAAACGGGGATTCACTGGGCGGAGCCCGCTTGCGGGGGTGTGCCGGGCTGGGTGGGGAGATCTCCCTGTTCAGCAGGCCTCCGAGGCGGAGACCAGGTCCTCTTCCCCTCTCAGGCAGCCTGGCACACGGCTGGTGTGTTAAATGGGACTGGCTAACCCCTGGCATTCATGGCGATGAGCCTGCATCTGCCTGAAGAGGCTGTGCCGATTTGTCACGGACGCTCCCTCTGATCTGCCCAGCGTGGTGCATCCCCTCAGACGTGTCCTCAGAAGCCTGTGCACATCCTCTGGCCTCTGTGATGGGGTGGCCAGCCACGCCGGTTGGCCTGGGAGTGGGGTTTCCTGGGATGTGGGACTTCCTGGGGCGGTTGGAAACGCTATCTGTGAAAATGCTTTTCCAAGCGGGCAATCCTGACTCAAAATCCCTGTATTTTCAATGTCCCCAGGACCCTCTTAGGTGATTGAGGTAGAACTCAGGCAGTAGTGCGTGTGTGTGTGTGCGTGTGAGTGAGTGTGTGTGTGTGTGTGTGTGTGTTGTGTGTGTGTATGTTTAAGTCGATCTATTGATCTGAGAGAGAGAGAGGGAGAGAGAGAGAGAGAGAAACATCGACCCATTTCCCTCCCATCCATGCATTCATTGGTTGACCTTGTGTGTGCCCTGACTGGGGTTGCATTCCACAACCTCGGCATAGTGGGACGATGCTCTAACCAGCTGAGCTACCCACCAGGGTGGTAGTTGTGTTCTTAAAAGGCTCCCTAAGTACTTCTAACGAACACCACAGAAATAATCACCAAAACAAAAAGCATGAGGTAGGATATTGATTTTTTAATTTTTAAAAATGTATCCATTAAGCTTTCCACCCAGGATGCTGAGTCCCTGTCCAAGCCCACGGGTGGGGTCTGGGTCAGTGGAAGTGCCCAGGCAGGCCGTACCTGTCAGTATATCTGTGCCCACTCCCGGGCTGCGGCGGCTCAAGGGGTGTGGCCCTGTGGCTCCCGCACGACCCTCCTGAGCTGCCACCCTCGCTCTTGGGGGTCCATTGGGTCTGGCACCTCATTTTCTTCAGAAGTTTCTGGTTCTCAGCATGCCATGGTCTTAGATGACCAGAGGCGGGCTGCCCAGCCTCATGGCCCGTGGTTCCCCTCCAGGAAGCTCTCCACCTTCAACGCGTACATGGAGGGCCACGGCTACAGCGTGGAGCCCATATGGAGAGATATCGAGGACGTCATCATCAAGACGATCATCTCCGCCCACCCCATCATCAAGCACAACTACCACACCTGCTTCCCCAACCACACGCTCAACAGCGCCTGCTTCGAGATCCTGGGCTTCGACATTTTGTTGGATCGCAAACTCAAGCCCTGGTTGCTGGAGGTAGGGAGGAGGGGGCGAGGGGTGAACACTGGCCCCTGTTTTTGGGGATCAGCCAGCTTCAGGCTCATCTCTCCGCCCTCCCAGCTCAGCTTAGATCTGTTTGATCCACTTCATCGCGCCAGTTCCTCCCACCGTGCTTGCTGCCTGGGGCTCCTCCCTGTGCTGAGAAGTGGCCACCAGAGGGGGATAGATGGCCAGGAATTGGAGAATTCCTGGTGCCTCTTTGAGGTCCACCCAGCTTTGGAAACGGATCTCAGACACAGAGAAACAGCTCTCCCTTTTGTCACAGAGTCCTTTTGTTTCCCAGAAAGGAGGTGTTCTTCAGAGCTGGGCTGATGATGTCGAAGATCAGATGGGAGCTGCAGGCCTGGCTCTCAGGGGCCTAGCCCGCTCAGTTCCAAGCACTAACAGAGAGTGGCCTGGTGTCTGAGGCCACAGGAATGGGTGTGGAGCCACTCAGTGATGTTCCTGCCTCCCCTAGACCCCGGGGTGACGGGAGGAGGAGGAAGAGAAGCTTCTGGGTGGCTGTCTCTTTTCCAGATTGTGCTTGTGCTCGGCAGCCGTCCCAAGCGGTTAGCTATTCAGTATGCACACTGGGCGGAGGGGTGTGGGGTGGGTGTGCAAGTCAGAGGTACTAGTGCCAGTTGCCAATGACAAGAGTCAGCCTTTGAGCCGTGACCTGTTTGGCTCAGTGGATAGAGTGTCGGCCTGCGGACTGAAGGGTCCTGGGTTTGATTCGGGTCAAGGGCACATGCCCAGGTTGTTGGCCCAATCCCCAATAGGGGGCATGCAGGAGGCAGCCAATCAGCGATTCTCTCTGATCATTGATGTTTCTCTCTCTTTCTCCCTCTCCGTTCCTCTCTCTGAAATAATAATAATAATAACTATATATAAAATAAAAGCTAGTTAAACTAGAGGGGTTCCACTTTCTCCGTTCCTCACTGTGGCTTCAATCCAGACCTTTCTCTCTCCCTTCCATCATCTTGGTGACCAGGGCCCCGAGGTGGGCTCAGCCAGCTCCCCGGAGAAGGTGTTTTGGCCTCCCTCTCTGCTTTGGCTCTGGACAGCCCAGCTTCCAGCTGCCCTCTTGCCCTCACAGGTCAACCACTCTCCGAGCTTCTCCACCGACTCCAGCCTGGACAAGGAGGTGAAGGACAGCCTGCTGTTTGACACCCTGGTCCTCATCAACCTGGGGAGCTGTGACAAGAAGAAAGTCTTGGAGGAGGAGAAGCAACGGGGCCGCTTCCTGCAGCAATGTCGTTCTCGGGAGGCCAAGTACAGTAGCACCCCCCCCCCAGGGACCCCATTTTTATGATTGGTCTGTCCTGATCCAAGTTATGATACAATAGCCCACTGCTTCCGTGGCCTTTCTGTTACTTCTCTGCACCTCCGTGTTCTTTCTGTGAAATGGAGCGAATGATACCTAAAGTTGGGGGGGAATGAGATGAGATCATGTGTATAAAAGGCTCACTTACCATCATGCCTGGCGTTATCATTTGTGTGTGAGACTATTAAGAATTTTGCCTGGAGTTGGTGGGGAGGGGAGGCAGCTCTTACAAATGATTATCCTCCTTGGAAAATTAGTTTCTATTTGTGGAATGTGGCAGTGTGGATGTTTTTACTGTGACTATTCCTTTGTCTCTGTGTTAGGAGCTGTATGCCCGGTAGGAAAGCACCTTCGAGGTGGATGGGGTGTTGGGAAGATTGTGCTTGACCTGCTGGGCGATGGGCCTAGGTCGGTGAGGAGGGTTTGCGAGCTTCAGTCTCTAACCTTGAACTTGATGGGGAAACATTTGCTTTAGTGTCACCAGGAGCAGAGTTGTTCAATAGATTTGTGGCTGTTATAGGTGTAACTATACATCATGGAGATAAGCTGATGGATATCCTATGAAGATTTAGGGATTACCAACCTGAAAAATAAAACCATTCCTTTTTTTTTTTTTTTTTTAACCAAAAGGAAGATTTGCCGGTCCTGCCCTGTGTTACTGTGTTGGCAGGAGCTAACATGTCCCTGCTCCCTGCTGGGAAGCACCTGCCTTACAGAGGCCTCCTTCTGCAGAGTGAGTCTAGTGTCAGAGCCTGAGCCTGGGCAAGGAGGTGCCTGTGTTGGTTTTCAGACCCACCGTGGCCCCTGCTCTCATGTGCGGAGCCAGCCGGTCCTTCCAGATGAAACTTCTGGAACCGAGGCAATAGCATCTGTGTTGGGAAGGCATTTCCATGGGTCCTGTCTTCTCTGTAAGCAGGTGGTAGGCAGTGGGGTGCAGTATGGTCCTGCTTGGAGCTAAGGAGACAAAGGGGAACTGGCTGGTACTAGGCCACCTCGCTGGTAGGCGGCAGGTCTGGCCCCAGAGCCCAGGGGTGTGTGGCCTGGGTTCCAGGACGCCCTCCACTCCGCTGGCTTCCTCTAAACCGCTTGTGGAGGAGACAGCGTCCGTGAAGGGGCAGCTAGGATGCTCTCCTGAGTCCTCCTCCTTGGCACAGCTTGGCCCTGGCTAGCTCAGTGGCTCTTGGTTTTCCTGCTGTAAAAGGGGCTTATCATCCCCCCTCGCTGATCTCCCCCTTCCCAGGGGGCTGTGAGGAAGAGTGAGATCATCAGAGCTCATCCAAGAAGCCCTCACAGTTAGCAAAACACAAGCTGTCGTTCTCCAGAGAGTGACAGGGTAGGAGGGGCTGTGATTGGGAAGGTAGTCATAGTCTGCCTGGGCAGAACTGAGCCAAGAGGGAAAAGGGTTTTTACCTGCAACCTGAGAGAATCTGATGAACTGTCAGAGAAGACTGTTCTTAAAAAATATATATATATATATATATATATATATATATATATATATATATATATATATATATATTTGTATTGATTTCAGAGAGGAAGGAAGAGAAATAAACATAAATGATGAGAGAGAATCATTGATCGGCTGCCTCCTGCACATACCCTACTGGAGATCGAACCCACAACCCAGGCATGTGCCCTTGACCGGACTTGAACCGGGGACCCTTCAGGCTACAAGCCTATGCTCTATCCACTGAGACAAACCAGTCAGGGCCAGAGAAGACTGTTCTAAACAGCTTTTAGCACGTATGACGGGATGCCTGGAATCCCCTCAGGGAAACATTTAGGAACAGCGATCGGCCACTGGTGTGTGCAAGGCTTGTGCCTGGCCCTGGCTGATGTCCAGCTTGGTCACAGTTCTTCCGAGCATCGAGCGGTCTCCCAACGCAGCCCTGTGCTCTGCTTGCCAACAGGATCGAGGAACTCAAGGGTTTCCAGGCCTTGCGTCGAGAGAAAACTGAGAAGTATGAGAAGGAAAACTGTGGGAGGTTCCACCTGATTTATCCCAGTCTGAATTCGGAGAAGTATGAGAAGTTTTTCCAGGACAACAACTCCCTCTTCCAGAACACTGCCACCTCCAGGGCCCGGGAGCTGTATGCCCGGTAGGAAAGCATCTTCGAGGTGGGTGGATGGGGTGTTGGGAGGATTGTGCTTGACCTGCTGGACGATGGGCCTAGGTCGGTGAGGAGGGTTTGTGAGCTTCAGTCTCTAACCTTGAACTTGACGGGGAAACATTTGCTTTAGTGTCACAAGGACCAGTGTTGTTCAGTAGCTATGTGGCTGTTTCTAGAAACTCATCCCTGAGACAGGTACATTCCCCACCCCGACATTCACCCCTCTCCAGAATGCCCAGCCCCTCAGATGCCCAGCCCCTCAGAGCTGCCTCCTGGATTCCTGCAGGTATATAATCTGAGAGCTGGCAGGGACTCATCCCACCCAGTCCAGTTCCCTCCCATCTCCTCATTTTATGGAAGGGAAGGACGGAGCGGAGAAGACATCATATAGAGTAACGACAGAAAACAGACTACAGTCCGTCTCCTGATTCGTGGGACTGTTATTCCCACTACATTACTGGCCAGAGGCCCAGGTCCACTGTGGGAGCTCCTGGCTTTGGCCTGTCCAGACCCTCTTTTCAGCGCCTGTCATGTATGGGGTCTGTCCTACTGGGAGGCGGGGGGCGAGATAGGGTTGTGGAGGTGGAGACCCCTTCCTGCATATTCCTCCTTGGATACTGTTCCTAAGAATGGGGGTGATGTGGTTTAAGAGACGCCTCTCCTCCACCTCCTGCTCTGTGACCCTCAATCATGTGTGCAGATGGACATGCTGGGGGAGGCCAGGGGAGCTCTCTGCTCTTTGCCCGGTGTTGTCCACCTCTCAGGAGAATGGCCTCATTCAGAGCCCATCCCTAACCTACTGACCTCCCTGTTCCTCAATGGGCAGGCAGCTGATCCAGGAGCTGAGGCTAAAACAGGAGAAGAAATCCTTGCAGACGAAAGAGAAGAAGGTAGAGATGCAGGGAGAATCGGCAGGCGAGCACACGAGAGGCAAGGGGGCGAAAAACTGGCAACAGACACAACAGCGACAATACAAGTCCGCCGCCACCCAAGTCTCCAAACAAGTAAACCCGGATGGGAGGGGAGCACCGTGCCCAGCACCCTTCCCTGGGGTGCGGGGGTGGGGAGGAAGAGGGGGTGCCGAGGAAGCCACAGCCCAGACACACTGAGGGAATGGGGCTGTGCGGAGGACAGGGGGAGCCTGGAAGTCACAGGGAGCCCAGCGTCCTTCAGAGGACTCCTCCTTCCAGCAGAGAGGGCAGGCGCTTGCTGGTCTGTCCTTGCCTCCATCAGTCGGAGTTGGCAGCTGGGAGGGTGGGCACAATCCCCACGCAGGGAGCGGCTCCAGTTTGGGCTGTAACGCTCTCTTCCAGGGGGCCAGGGGCACCGCCTGGAAAGGAGAAGCAGGGAAGAGGTTCTGGGAGGCAGGACCCTCAGAACGTTACATGAGGTGGCTGACCACAGCTGGGTCCTTCCAGCCTGCTCTCTGCTCAGAGTGTGGCCAGTCCCCCACTGTGGGCCACAGTGTCCTGTTGATCTGAATCTCTGGATTCCCCCGTCTCTGCCTAGCTCTCTCTCTATAGGCTCAGTGGAAAGATTCAATTGACTTTTCAGTCCATCTCCTTTTTCTTCTTCTTCTTCTTCTTCTTCTTCTTCTTCTTCTTCTTCTTCTTCTTCTTCTTCTTCTTCTTCTTCTTCTTCTTTTTAATAGTTTTTATTGATGAAGGGGGAGGGATAAAGAGATAGAAACATTGATCAGCTGCCTCCTGCACACCCCTCACTGGGGACGTGCCCGCAACCAAGGTACATGCCCTTGACCAGAATCAAACCTGGGACCCTTCAGTCCGCAGGTCGATGTTCTATTCACTGAGCCAAACCAGTCAGGGCTCATCTTCTTTTCAACAACTCACCCAAAGGGACAGGAGTAGAGCACGTGTTTGTTTGTTTTTCATAACTTTATTGGGGCCATAGACCCTCTGAGCATCTGATAAAAGCTATGGAATCTCTTCCCATGACGTACACAAAGATAGTTGTAAGTGGTTTACAGATCCCATGGAACCATCCATGAGCTCTCCAAGAGTCCCTGAACTTGAAGTTCAGAGCCCTGGATTAGAGAGACGTTGATACCGATTGTTTTCCTTCTCCCCCTCATCTCCTTTGCACCCAACTCTTGGGTGCAGATGAATCATGGGTTCCCATGAGCTGTGTGTTGAATTTCCTCCTTTCCAATCCCTTCAGCCATTGAGATTAATGTCCTTCACGCCTGACATGCTCTTGAAGGTCAGCGACACAAAGAAAAACGAGACAGGGATCAGCCTCAACCAGGAGGCCCCCAAGAAGGAAGACAGCCCCGCTTCCCCCGGGCCTGCCTCTGCGAGACACTACTGCTCTCTGCCCGACCTGAGGAATTCCAGCCTCTTCAGCTCCCCGGCGCTGGAGCTCAGCAAACCCATCACCAGGTTCAAGGAAGCCAAGTGCGCCTCCATCGTGAACATGCTCCCCGGCCCCGTGGTAAGTGGAGCGGTCTGCCTCCCAGGTGGCTGGGTTCGGGGGGCTGTGATGGGACTCTTGCTTTCTTGTTCCTTCTCTGCCCCTGACTTCCTATTGGTCCTCTGAGTGACTCTCTTAACCTCCCTAGGCCTTGATTTCCCCACTGTGATGCCCAAGCTGTGGAACAGAGGCCTATACTTTCAGGGCTTTTAGAAAGACTGCCCTAGGCATCCCTCTTTTTTAGGCAGGGAACCTCCTAGGATGACTGTAACAAAGCACCACAAAGTTGGTGGCTTAAAACACACATTTATTGGCCTCATCGGTCTGGCTCAATGGATGGAGCATCGGCCTGCAGACTGAAAGGTCCCAAGTTCGATTCTGGTCAAGGGCATGTACCTTGGTTGTGGGCACATCCCCTGTGGGGAGGAAAGGAGGGGTGCAGGAGGCAGTTGATGGATGTTTCTCTCATCGATGTTTCTAGCTCTCTCTCCCTCTCCCTTCCTCTCCATAAATATATATATTAAAAAGGAGCTATCTAATAACTTATTTTGAATGTGTACCTAAGGCACAGAATTGCTGGTCACAGGGTATTTGTAATCCTATTTTACCAAGTATTTCTAGATGGTTCGCCAGAATGACTGTCTGCATTCTCATGAGCAGTGCATGAGAGTCCCTGTACCTCTGCATCCCACCAACAGGTTTCTAAATTTTGCTAATCTAAAAGCTCTAAAATGGCTATTTCTCTGATTGATTACTAATCTCTAGTGTTTAAAATCTCTGTCATACTTAAAGACCTCCCAAGGAAGCTCTGTGGACATCTCCACTATATTCTGCCCTAGTGTTTAACCAATTCCTGGTTAGGAAACTCTTCTAAACTAATCTCTCACCCTGCTGCTGAAATCAGTTCTTCATCTGTTTCAATCGAGAATGGCATAGCAAGGCCAAGACCGGTTTGGCTCAATGGATAGAGCCTCAGCCTGTGGACTGAAAGGTCCCGGGTTCGATTCCAGTCAAGGGCATGTACCTTGGTTGCGGGCACATCCCCAGTAGGGGGTGTGCAAGAGGCAGCTGATTGATGATTCTCTCTCATTGATGTTTCTAACTCTCTATCCCTCTCTGTAAAAAATCAATAAAATATATTTTTAAAAAAAGAAAAAAAAAAGAATGGCATAGCAAGGAGCCCTTTGCTTTCCCGTCTCATGTTGGGTTGTTTTCTCTTCCAGCTCCTCACTTCATTAGAAACCTCAGAAACCTGCACCCAGTTCTCAGACTCCCCCGAGTCCCTGCTGAGCGTGCCCAACAGCCCCGAATGCAGTAGCCCCGAGATGGACAGAGCGATCTCCTTTAAATGCAAACAGCAGCAGACCCCCCATCGCCTCTCCCAGGACAAAATATCAAAAGTTTCTCTGCCCACGAAATCCCAGCGATACTCGTTGAACCCACGTTGGACTTGGCTAAAGAATAACATGAAGAAACAGCACCTAATGTCAGAGTTGTTCACCAAGGTTCAACTGAGGGACAAGCTCTCCTTGTTCCCATCTCCCTACAACCCAAAGCTGGTGCTAAGTAACCAGTCACGTGAGTGCCAGCCTGCACAGGGGTATACCGAGAGCACATGGCGTAACCTGCAGAACCAGTCCTGATTTTTGGGGAGCATCCAGTCTGCAGGGGGATACATTCCCAGTTGGTGACCGCAGTCGGATGGTGGATACATAGTCTGTGTCCTTAGGGGGTCTCTGGTCTTATTGGGAAAATAAGAAAGATAAAAAATGGAATGCTATGTCTAAGTACCCTCTTCCACATTCCCTGGTTCTCACGCAGTTGAGGCCCATTCAGCTAAATCTGTACCAGATGGAGGCATTAAGTATGAAAAAGCAGGGAAGACAAACTATTGGAGAAAACAAGGGATGATTCGGATTCAGGATCAGATTTAGACCAGGAGACCCTAGAGGGAGGCGGCCTTTTCTAAGAATTTGTGCCGAGTCCAGCGGCCTAAATGGGTAATGACAGTTTATCCATTTCTTTGCCTTTCCAGAAAACTTCTCCCTGCCCCAGGACTGTTACTTGCGCAGCCAAAGCTCTCAGGAGAGGAAGCCGCTGGATATGTCCTCCCTCCTCTTCCTGAAGAATTCTCACCGCCGTGATGTCTCTCTGAGGGATCTGCTGGTGGTTGCCACTTCAGCCCGACTGGATCCGAGGCCTGGCAGAAGGCGTCTGGGTGTGGTGAGGGGACCGTGTATACAGGATCGGGAAGCATGCAATCACTGCCTGATCTCTGGCCAAAAAGGATGTGAGAGGAAATAGGTAGGCCCACCCACATTCCCTTCATGGGCCTGGTGCATTGGCAAGCACCATGTGTCTATATTTCTGGAATGAATGTTGGGTAAGTAGGTGGGTGGATGGATTGATTGATAAAGCCATACAGGTAAGTAGACAGTTAAGACTAACCTTAGTTAAAATGTGATCCCCTTGCAATTTATATTTTTGCTACGACTAATCTGTCCCCACTGCTTTAAAATAATAATAATTATGTAGATATATATATATAATTATTATTTTTATATATATATATATATATATATATATATATATATATATATATATATATTTAAATTGATTTTTTACAGAAAGGAAGGGAGAGGGAGAGAGAGTTAGAAATGCTGATGAAAGAGAAACATCAATCAGCTTCCTCCTGCACACCCCCTACCAGGGATGTGCCCGCAACCAATGTACATGCCCTTGACCGGAATCAAACCTGGGACCTTCAGTCCGCAGGTCGACACTCTATCCACTGAGCCAAACCGGTTTCGGCTAAGCTTGTGCTCTTAATCACTACCACTTATTATCTCTGGCCAGCCGTCTTGGCTGCTCTTAAATAATCTATAGCAAATGTTTGGGGCTAAAGGGATGTAGGAAGATGAATGTAAAATGAATGGAGGTAAAATGAATTTCTGGCGACCGTGGATGTGAATCACCTGAGCACCTTCAGATACACTAGATAAGAATGGTGATGATGTGTTAGTTGGCTTGAATATTCTAGAGGCCGTTTTACCATTTTACAGGAAAATCTAAGAAAATCTTTTTTTCCCCCCCGCCAGAATCAGACTGGATCTCTGCCATCCCCCCACCCCACCCTCCCCCACCCCACCCCCATTTTACTTTTTACTCCCAGGAAATGATTTGTCTCTTCTTACAGTGTCTACAATGCCCATGGGATCAACTAAAAGTTTTATTTTCTCATCTAGATATCCTAGTCTTATAAGTCCCTCCCTCTCACTAGCACCACTGAGGCCAACAGCCTTGCCTTTGTGCCCTCCCAGTTAGCTGACAGCGCTGTAGGACCATGACTTCTGGGAGTTACTGATGTTGTCCCAGGACATGCCCCAGTTGCTCCTACCGGTGTCATTCCGAGGGGCCCTTCACATGGCACCATCATCCAGAACGCTCCCCCAGATAGAGCGATGTGAGGGAGGAGTGTTTCAGAGAAGGATTCACAACTGTCAAGAATCCAAAGCCCTCAGTCCGCCAACAGGCCTGTGCCAGTTGGTCTTCAACTCCAAAGAGCAAAGGCAGAGAGAGGGCTAGACATGACGGAGAACTCAGAGCCCCGCATAAGAGAACTGGGGCAGTCAGAGTCACCAGGGACAGATCGTACTTCCTCCCACCCCAGCCACCTCAGTCCCCAGACATCTTCCTGCTACTGCCCTGACCAGCCCCACCCGATCTCGCCAGTGAAGACAGAGGTGAGGTGAGAGTGCCCAGCCTGCAGATGTTTCTTCCATCGACCTACAGAGATGCTGCATTTCCCCCTCGTGTGTACATTAGTAAAATAAATCACCATGCTCAATGCGGGACCAGGAGCCTGATTCAGAGTCAGAATGGGAAGGGGTGGGAGGAAAGATAGTTCTCCCTCATTAAGAAAGTCCCAAATCCACTGAAAATGTGTCCAGGACCTTTAAAGAATGTCTTTGGATGAATGGTCGACCATGAGCCCTGCCTACTTGCTGGGAGCCCAGAGCCTGAGGTGCTCCTTTGGTGGTGGGGTGCTCTGCAGCTGCTGTGACTCTGCCCAGCATTGGGCCTGGCTCAACCCGAGGCCTAACATCTAGTCCGATTTGGCTGAATTAGACTGGGGAACTGGGAGAGGATGATGGGAAGATGGCTTAAGAGAGCACATTGGCTACCCAGGCACCCTTTGTTTATATCATCCTCATTGCACTCCTCATGACCGTGAACTTATTGGTGTGACTGTCCCTCCCTTGGACTGTACCATGTTTTTGTATCCCCATAGCCCCTGCTTTTAGCTACTGCTTGGGTCATAATAGAGACTCAGTGAACATTTGCCGGGAAGTGTTCCTCTTGACTTAGCGGGCTGTGGGACCCCACTGAAGGCTTTTGAACGGGAGAGAGATTTTGGTGAGGGTGAGAAAGACGGGTCTGGTAGCAGACGGTAGAATGGATGACTGGCAAGGAGAGAGCCTGAGGTGGGAGAGTGGTTTGGAGGCTCAGACAGTGGCCTGAGTTTTAAGCCCTGGCGGCCCCTATCAGCGAGGCTGACTGTGGGAAGGAAAAGAGGGCAGGTCAGTAAGCAGTGCAGAGCTGGACATAGCAGTTGAACAAATAGGGAATAAGGAAAAGGGAACAAAAGGGAGGCTTCCATAGAATGAGTCCCTGTAAGAACATAGGGACTTTGGGGGAAGCAGCTTTGGGGGTGGAGATCAGTGTCTGTGTCATAAAGCAGGTGGATGAGTTCCCTTCCTCAGATGGGTTTAAAAGAGCAGTGCTAAAGAAAACGTTTCTCCTTGCAAAAATAATTTTCCTAAAATTATTAGGAAAATGGCCACTTTGGTCTGGGCAGGTTTTTCTAGGCTCAGAACTATCTGGGCGGCTAAAAAGACTGTGTGCTCTCACCTTAGTGTAGATTAAATTGGTCCCTGAAGCCAGGGGGGTGGGGGGGGGGGAAGGCGGGTATTGGGACGGGGTTGCCCTGGATCTATAATAGAACGCTGCCTCGGAGGGTGCTGATGTACAGCCATGTTTGGGAGCCACTTCTCTGGCTCACCCACACTGGACAGCCCTTGTCCCACCTCAAACAGGCAGGACACTTCTCCGGAGCCTTACAGGGGTGCTTTCAGATTCCAATTCTGCTTCCACCCTGGCAGGGAGTGTAAGGCAGACAGATTGGCAGCTGTCCTCAGCGTCCTCCCCCACCCATCCTGGGTGATTACATGAACCGAATATAATCATTCACAACCCTCGTCTTTACAGCTGGCATGTCACTTAGCTTAATTACAGCGCACTGTGGCGTCTCCACTGGAGGAATCTAAAACAGCAATAAAATGCGTTTTGCAAATTGATAGGGAGGCGATGAAGACCTTGGGACTGCAATTTCCCAAGTATTGCTTTCAATTATTTTGCATTCTCCAGCCATGACTCTAACCTGCAGCCTGGGAAAACCAAACAGGCAGCCTGTCCTGTGGAGGGCACTTCGTGCCTCCTGAGCGCACACTGTGTGCCGGGGAGGTGGCCGGAGGCTCCGGGAGCCGCCTCGGGGTGGGAGGGGTTGTGCTTGTCCTGAGCCTGTGTTCCTGAGGCACCTGCTAATCATGCTTCCGTCAAGACATTCCCACACCGTGGGCTCTGGCTGGTCTGGGGTGACCTTCAGCAAGGGACCCCCCTTCTCTTTACCCCGGAACATCTACTGTCTGCAGAGCACGAGGAAAGAAGGGTGGGGAAACAAACCTTTAAAAAAATCTAGGGTTGGTGCCTGGTTTCTCTGGCCCTTTGATTTCTTTTCCTGTTATTTCCTGGTTCCTTTTAACCCTTAAAAAATGTACTTTTTGGGCAACCATGGTGAAAGGAGAGACCGTGGTGTTCCTCCACCACCCTGCTCTCTCAAGCCTCGTGGTCTTAGGAGAGATCACAAACTGGGCCCCAGCCGTCTGAGAACGAGAGGGAAGCAGCAGGAAGCTGCCGCGGGCGGCGCTGAGACAGATCCCTCTTGCTGTGAGCGACATTGGTGGGCATGATCCTCAGGAGCAGAATGCCAGCTGCCTCAGCAGCTATGCCAGGTGGGAGAGCAAACACTGAAATCCTGTTGGCAAAGCCGGCAGGGCCACCACACTGTGGCCAAAGCAAACAGAGGCCGAGGCAGGCCAGCTGCGAGGAACTCTCACTCAGATCTAGATCTGGCAGAGGGCGAGACTGAGCTGGCTGAGCCCACGTACCAGGGCATCGAGTAGCCGTGGGTATGCTCATACCCATCTCTTGGGCACGGTCGGTCCCCTTTCATTTTGGCACTTTGGCCAAGGAAAGTCTGATGGTGACTGTTTATTTCACACGTGTTACTTTGGTTATTCCTCCCGGCCGTCTGGGAGGTCAGTATTAGCCCCATCTTACAGAAGAGAAAATTGAGGCTAGGGGAAGGACATCGGAGCCACGGCTTAGTGTGGGGGCCTCTGACTCAGGGTCTGCTGCATTTCTCATCCCCTCCACCCTCCCACCTCTCCACCCAAACTCTCCCATTTCAATTCCCTCAGCCCCTTCATGGGCGGAGCTCACGCCGTCTCTGCAGGGCAAGCAGAGGCTCAGAGGAGGGCAGGGATTGTTTCTGCTTTTATTTTATTTTATTTTTTAAATATATTTTATTGATTTTGTACAGAGAGGAAGGGAGAGAGTTAGAGTTAGAAACATCGATGAGAGAGAGTCTTCGATCAGCTGCCTCCTGCACACCCCCTACTGGGGATATGCCCACAACCAAGGTACATGCCCCTGACCTGAATTGAACCCGGGACCTTTCAGTCCCCAAGCCGATGCTCTATCCATTGAGCCAAACCGGTCTCGGCTGTTTCTGCTTTTAGACCAGCTAGTCAACACCCCTGAGTCTCTATCTGCCACACCCACCAACACAGAGGCCCAGGAATATGAATACGATTACAAATATTTTCCATTATTTGCACATTTCAACAAGTCACGAAACCCTCCCCACTTTATTTAAACATGAGAGACCTGAATCAAGATCTCTGCTTCCCCCTCCCCCCATATTACAATGTGGTAGCATGTAAACATAGACTTAATAGACCCTCTTATGACCTGCCACCTATGAAAATGCGTCTCTCTTGCCTCCTGGGAACTGTATATTGCCCGGAGAGACACAGTGGCGGCATGCATGTCCTCCTGGAGGGGCTGGGCTCCCACTGAGAGAGAGCCAAGTCCCCGTTCCTCCACAGATGCCCTGAGGATCTGAGATTTCCCGGTTATTTTCCAACATCCCCGTTAGAGGGGAGAGGACAGGAGGGACCCTT